CATTTGACTGTGTGGATCATAATAAATCATGGATAATATTTGGAAGAATGGGGATTCCAGAGCACTTAAAACTATGCTCATGAGGAATCTGTACAAAGACCAAGAGGCAGTTGTTCAAACAGAACAAGGGGAGAGTATGTGGTTTAAAATCAGGAAGGGTATGCATCAGGGTTGCATCCTTTCTCCATACTTATTCACCCTGTATGCAGAGCAAATAATCCAAGAAGCTGGACTCTATGAAGTACGTGGTGTCAGGATTGGAGGAAGACTATGGTAGAGAGAATCATTTGGTATGGCTCTTCTAGACATGGTCTCTGTGACTCCCACCAGATGACTAGGTGGAACTATGAAATATAAGGGGCTTGTGGTCCACCAAAGGGCTTGGATAGCTTATTAATAATGCAAATAGGGCACATGACACCCTTGTGGGGTTGGGACCATGGAAATAAGGTATGTGGAACCCTAATGTGGAGATTGGTTAGTTTTGCCATCTCACTAGGCTTAAAATGATGCATCCTAGAGGTGTACCAGGAGGATCTCATTGCCATCAAGACAGAAGAAGCAGCAGGAGTGGAGCCGTGTCCTTGAACTGGGGATCACTGGGTCTCCTTGGCAGGAAGAGAGTGGACACAGAGGCAGAACTAAGAGGACCAGCAAGAGCAGAGCAGCAGGCTTCCTGGTGCACAGAGTGAGAAAGTTTAGTGTCTTCAGGCAGGAGGCTTGCTGGAGGAGTAGGGTGCACCTATCTGCAGGGTGAAAGCAACTTTACCAACACACACCTGCCCATGCAGGGCAGAGGCCCGGCTGAAAGGCATGCCTGTGAGCATTTCCAAAAGGAGGCTGTCCTCATAGAAGAATTGTACGCTGAGCGTTCCTGAACCTGAATTGTGACCTGTTACTTCCCTAATAAACCCCATCATCATCAGTATTGTCTTTAAATTCTGAACGGCCACTGAAATAAATTATTGAATCCAGCAGAGAAGTGGAATACTGTGGGAGGGATAATTGATGAATGAATCTATTAAAAAAAAAAAAAAATTGGAGGGTGGTGGCTTGTCTGAGCTCCACCTCAGAGGAACCAGCCTCGGCCGATGCTGCTGAAGGTGATTCTGCCTCCTCCCTTATGAAGTTAGAGGAGGTCAGGGGGTGCCACTCCCATGTCCTTTTCACAAAGACCCATTAACAATCTGCAATATGCAGATGACACAACCTTGCTCCCTGAAAGTGGAAAGGACTTGAAGTACTTACTGAAGATCAAAGACTATGGCCTTCAGTATGGATCACCCCTCAACATAAAGAAAACAAAAATCCTCATAAC